CGCGCCCCCTACCTTGTGGCCGCCTCTTTTCTTTCTTGACGTAGGGTCCAAGTCTCCCAGGTCTTGTTCGTTGAGAAAATCACGTTCCCGAAGGTTTCATTCCGTTTGGACTCCGTTTGATATTCCTTTTCTTCAAAACCCTAAAATAGGCAAAAAAACAGCAATTCTGGGCTAGGCCTCCGGTTAATAGGTTAGTCCCAAAAATAATATAAAAGTGGATAATAAAGCCCAATAACGTCCAAAACAGTAGATAATATAGCATGGAGCAATCGAAAGTTATAGATACGTTGGAGACGTATCAGGTGTCAAACTATAGATCGATACCGATTACTCCGTGTTAAACCGATGGGCCTTTCATAACATTGGCCGAAGTGTTAATGGTTAGACTTCGGTCGGTGCCGAACACTAACCGGGGGCTTGTAGCTAGCTTCCCCAGTTTAAAGCTCCGACGACTAAGTGAAAGTTATAAAGCTCGCGTATCTGATTGCCTTGTTTCCGCTAACACAACCGCCTTCGAGCACCGAGACGTCGGCTAAGAGTTGTTTTGTTACTGCGGAAACACCCTGCATAGTATCTACAAAGGGGTAGAAACCGACGATGGGCCACTTTCAGCTGATAAATGGTCGCAACAGAGTCAAAATAAACATATATTCTCAGTGTTTGTATTCAGTATACAAGCGCTGCCTTCCATAATTATCGTTATAAATCCATAAATATGCATCAAATTTGGCTTCAGATTTTGGCCAAGCTGGGTTGCCTGGCTCCTGTGTTTAACCCTACGTTCCCGATTGTTCAGCTAGGAGCACCTCTGTGATTGTTACTACCGGGTCATCCAGATTAGTACCTCCGACTGGGTGAAGCCGAAAGCTAGCTATATTAAGAATATAATTGGTCGGCAACGACGGAATTGAAAATTTCGGTTCATTAAGACCATAGAGTTCGGGAACTTTCCCCACACTAAATCCTCGATATTTTCTTCCCACATTGATCAGAGGTGAGGTTTCATGATCTTGATCAACATGACAAGCCAAAGAAAGGAACCGATAGCGGGACTATTTTTTTGGAAGATGTTTCTTACGTTAAAAAGTAATATAACATATCTCTCCGTGTACCTTTGTTTTTAAAACCATATGGCTGGATTGCCTTGTTTGTCATAAGTCTTTGCCCTTATAAAGTCTTTATAAAGTAGGACAAACACTCCCCGGCTACTGATCGAGGAGGTTGAAGCCGATGGTCGGTCATCAAAGTTTTGTACAATGCGGATCCGAGCATTAATAATGTAGAGTGCTTGGATACGTAGAATCATTACACAAAATTTGTGATTTTACTCCGGATATCGATCCTTAATTCGGCCATCTGTGCCCACATTACGGCTCGGGGGCTACTGGGCTTTGGGCTTATCATTTACTAACATTAAAGGGGCACATTGATCCCCTGATCTGGTGTTGCCACCCGACCAGTGTCTCGGGGGCTACTGCATTGCCTATTCAATACAGAAAATTCAAAGTGCTCAGTGTTCGGCTTGACCGAACTATATGCAAATGCGTCTTAGGACAACAATAGGTACCATCTGGGACTTATCCGGCATCAAGCTAATATATTACGATGACTTCTCAAAACCCTCTCTCAAGGGCCCGTCCGCCGATCACTATCTCCTCTAATGTGCATCTCGGATTTTAGGCTGACACACACCTTGAGGGATACTGGCTATATATCTCATCAGTAAATAAATTGCATCAATCGGAAATAAAATCCGCAAACAATCAGCCCAAGCTCGAGGTGGTTCATCACGTCGGAAGCAGTCCGGCATAAAACTCGCCTGCGAGCGGCTGGCTCCATAGAGAACTTTTTCAGCGATAAGCTCAGGTAACCTCCTTCAAAAAATTTAAACACAAGGTAATCTATGACACTTCGGATACAGTCCGATGTTGGAGCTCAGAAGAGGTCCGATGTTGGTGTTCGACTGCAAAAGATACCTCGGATGTAGTCCGACCTTGGAGCTCGGACGCAAGAGGACATCACCGCAGGGAAACAACTTCAAACCCGAGGTGTGGCGTAAAAAATAACAAGGCATTCCTAAAGGCCGAAAACTTAAAGGGGCTCCTCAGATACCCGATGTGTAAACTCTTTGGATTCACTTCGGCGGTCCTCAAGATCGAAGATGAGGAGATTTGTTGAACCAGTTTTCAAGACCGACGACCGAAGATGAAGAATAGTTCGGAAGAATCGAGGAGCATCCTCAATTTGAAGACTGGTTCAGGGGGTACTGACAGTGTCCTGGACTTAGGGGTACTCACCACATCGTCTCCCGACCAGCTGGATCGGGCCAAGGACCCCGATGGCGGTTCACTTATGGGCCACTTCGGACAGCCCATGCCGCATACAAGGAGGATTCCACAAGACTTGGCGCACAAGACAAGGACTCCTCTAAACCCTAGGCCTACGGTGCATATATAAACCGAGGCCAGGCTAGTCAATAGACAATCTAATATTCATTAGAACAATCTCTGGTAGATACGTGTACTCTGTACTACACACCATATGAATACAATCAAAAGCAGGATGTAGGGTTTTACCTCCATCAAGAGGGTCTGAACCTGGATAAAATCCCGTGTCTATGTTACCATCGCTCCAAGATGCCTAGCTTAGGACCCCTACTACGAGATATGTCGGATATAGAACCGACAGCGACCAGGCGGTGCGCCATTGTAGCCGAGTCGTCCCGGCCACTCCGTGATGATTGACAAGACGGAGAATAGTGCCCTCTGGCACACGGGGCCCGCGCCCGAAGAACCCAGCGAGCCCTGGCACCCGGCGGGTCCCAGCACCAGCTTCCCCGACGCTGACAACCCAGCCCCACATCCATGTAACTTTACCATTATAGCCCTGGGAGGGTGACCTATAACCCCCCCCACCCCCCAGGAGGCATCCATGCAGGGGGGGTCAAGCAAACGATCAGTAGCCCACACACACAGGAGAGGGAGCAGCCTAAGCCTTGGCATGTCTTCCTTCTTCATCCAAACAGCTCTAGGAGCAACTCTGTACTAGTTCATATAAACCACACTCGGCAGGACTAGGGGTGTTATCTCTCCGGAGAGTCCCGAACCTGGATATGTCTTGCGTCCCTCGCTCGCTCATGTCGGCATTGCCTCTGGAGCCCACCTGTGCCCTCGAGCCTCCTCTTTTCTTTAGCCACCCTTTGGCATCTACCGTGTGCCCACCACGACAAGAGGTCACGGTAGTTTCCTTCTTTGAAGACATGCGCACTTGTGGTTCAATGAATGAACTGGGAGGAGGGGGTCAGCAAATAAAATAAAAAACTGGAGCAAAGGAATTCTGGGGAAAAACTCGGAGTGGGAGGCGGGAGATTAGTGCCTGGGTGATATTTTCTTTTTTACTTTATAATAGGTTGGTTCATAATTCTTTTTTTTATATTGAGTAGATTAAATAGCTCAGATCAAACTTAATTAAGTAGTGAATTTTATATTGAATATACTATAACAAATTGGATCAAACTTAATTCATGCTTTTTATATTGAATATATTAAATAGCTTGGATTAAACTTAAGCTGCTATTTTATATTGACTGCATTTTTTATAAATCGGATCAAACTTAATTCGTGCCTTTTATACTTGATATTATACTTGAATGAAGGAATATATATAGATATAAATGAAATTTTTTCTTTGTCCGGATATATATACAATAATTGGTGATTTGTAAATGCGGCAAGATAAATCCGAACCAACCATTTGGCGGCTTCTCTTTCTTCGCCGTGGTGTAATATATACCCGGTGCATTTCAACTATGCGGAGCACGTCGCCATGATCAATTGATCAGGGGAGGTCCAGTACAATCGTGTCCGTCTTCCCCGATCCGCCTCTCCGGCGCGCCAACTTCCTCGTAGCTGCCAGTCCCCCGCCTTCTCCGCGCGCACCACCCAAAATTCTCCCGACCCAACAACCTCCAACGCTCTCGACCGCCCCCTCTTCCTCTTCCTCCTCCCAGCCTCCCGATCGCTCCAGTGCGCCATGAGCGAGGCACCCGCGACGACCGCCGCCGCCGGAGACGACCCTGACGCCACCGCCACCGCCAATCAGCAGCAGCAGCAGCAGGCGCAGGCGCAGGCGCAGCCCGAGACGCAGGACGACGCGGACCAGCTGTCGGAGTTGCGGCAGATCTTCCGGTCCTTCGACCGCAACAAGGACGGCAGCCTGACGCAGCTGGAGCTGGGCTCCCTCCTCCGCTCCCTCGGCCTCAAGCCCAGCACCGACGAGCTCGACGCCCTCATCCACCGCGCCGACACCAACTCCAACGGCCTCGTCGAGTTCTCCGAGTTCGTCGCCCTCGTCTCCCCCGAACTCCTCGACGACCGTTCCCCCTACTCCGAGGACCAGCTCCGCAGGCTCTTCGAGATCTTCGACCGCGACGGCAACGGCTTCATCACCGCCGCCGAGCTCGCGCACTCCATGGCCAAGCTCGGCCACGCGCTCACCGCCAAGGAGCTCACCGGAATGATCGAGGAGGCCGACACTGACGGCGACGGCCGGATCAACTTCCGTGAGTTCTCCCGCGCCATCACCGCCGCCGCCTTCGACAACGTCTTCTCCTGACCGAGCCGTCGACCTGAGAGAGGCCCGACCATCCATCGCCTTCAACCTCCGTGCGGATTCGATCCATGTCGCGCGTCATCATTGATCGCGCTCTGTTGGTGTCCGTGCTTCTCTCGATCGTTTGTGTTCTTGTCCGGGGACGGGGAGGTCAGTGATCAGATAATTTTTAGGCTGCAGGTGTTGGTGAGATGAGCTGTTGTCTGTTATGAATAACAAACAGATTGAACAAACCCAGAATGACAGTGGCAAGATTACTTTAGGGGTCAAGGAATGAATTATCCATGCAAAATGCACATTGTGTTTGCTGATTAATTTGCTCCCGTCAATCGATCGTCCTAAATCTCGCAAGATGGTCATCTGATGCTCACATAAATCAAGTGTTCGACATTATTAAGGATAAGGAGAATTTGTCCATGAATGGTTGGGTCCATTATCAGTGACTTTGTTCTTTTTTTTTTTGCGGGGAGTGACTTTGTTCTTTGCTCATGTTGTCCAAGGACGAAGAGACGGCCGTCCTCATCCGTCTGCGAATAAGTGTACATCTAGTTTTCGTCCTAAGTCAAAATATTAAAACTTTGACCAACTTCATAAAAAAAAATAACAGCATTTATGACACTAAAGTAGTACCAATTTGATGTCATATATGCTATTACTATTTTCTATAGAATTGGTCAAATTTTAAAACATCAGACTTAGAACAAAACGTAGAAGTACACTTATTCGTGGACGGAGGGAGTACAAAACAAATTCAGCGCATGGCTGGCAGCCATTGCCTTTTTATTAGGTTAGGTTTTGTGTGAGCTGTTGAAGTATTCCTGTGATCACTCGTGTTGAACGGATCATGCGTGGTTATCTTTCACCACCAGCTGTAGCCGTCGGGATGCCTGGCCAGATTCCAGTGAAAAGGCTCAATGTGTCTCGAGTATGATTTGGCCAGATAGCTGTCTGCTGGTCGCTATTTCTTATGCCCTGTAGCTGCAATCATGCTTGTTTTAAAGGTGGATGGTCTCTCGTGTCCAACTAATTTGGACATAATAACAACCGAAGAAGTTGAGCTGTATGTTATTTTGTTGCACGACTATATTCTGTTTGGGCCATTCACAGTTGAGCTGAGAAGAAGAATATGACAGCCCTGGGGAGAGCGCAAAAGAAAAATATGATACTTCAAAGGAAGACTTGGAAGAAGACTCGGAAGACGGATAGAAGAGCCCGGAGGAAGATTTCATAAAAAAAAGGGTTTGATTGAGCATCGAGAACACAAGGATTCTATGTTTGAAAATGATTTCCTTGGAATAATGCCTTTGACACCTATGAAAAGATGAAAAGCATATTTGGACAACCAAAAGTAGAAACTATTGAACCTGCCATTCTAGTAAGCAATCGACAAACTGAGATAATAAAATAAACTAAAAATAGTATGGAATCCAACTTTGGAGAGATATTTAATCTTGCTTCTAAAATAAATGGCAGTGTGATGTCACAAAATAGGAGATTTGATACTTTGAAACAAAGGGTTGATGCTCTTTGTGTTTTAAAAGAAATAAAAACTCTTAGCACCAAGCTTGATCGTTTAGTTCATATTATTGATAATGGCAAAGAGAGTGAAATAGCGATTGCTAGATCTCAACTAAGGATGACAACACTTGAAAGTATCCCTTACGTCTAGTTAGGGCGTAAAACAATAACACTTGTTGGGAGGCAACCCAATAATTATCTTTACTTTTCCTTTTTTGTTTTCTGTTTTTGAGTGTGCACATAATTATGCTACTATTATGGTTGTGTTTTTGTGTTTAAATTAGTGTTTGTGTCAACTAAAGCCTTTGGGGTGATTTGGTTGATAGTTGATTTGATTATGTGAAAAACAAAAAAAATTGCGCCGAGTAACATAATTGTTTAAATTCACTTGAATGCGATAAAATCCTGATTTTTTTACACATGGTTGATATAAAAATTGCCTACGTTGTCCTAATTGTTCAGAGAATTTTTTGGGGTTACAAAACTATTGAGTTTGTGCAGATCATCACAGTCTGTTTTGTTTTTTACATATTCTGTTTTCGCTGCATAGTTTGTTTGTTTTAATGAATTTATGGATTGTATCGGGGGCTATAAGTCATGGAGAAGTTAGAATACATTAGGTATTATGCAACAATAAAATATGAATGGGTTAACAACAGTACCTAAAGTTTATGATTTTTCTTGTTATACAAACGGATCTCACAAGTTTTCTGTTCAGTTTTGTGTGTTGAAGTTTTCAAATTTTGAGTGAGATCACGATGGATGAAGGAATAAGGAGTGGCAAGACCCTAAGATTGGGGATGCCCAAGGCACCCCAAGGTAATATTCAAGGATACACAAGACCCTAAGCTTGGGGATGCCCCGGAAGGCATCCCCTCTTTCTTCTACCAACGATCGGTATATAACTTCAAGCTATACGGGGCATCCCCTCTTTCTTCTACCAACGATCGGTATATAACTTCAAGCTATATTTTTATTCATCACATGATATGAGTTTTGCTTGGAGCGTCGTGTATTATATGAGTCTTTGCTTTATTTGCTTTTTAGTTTGCCACAATCATCTTTGATGAATACACCTTTTGAGAGGGACACACATTTATTCATGATTTGTTAGAATATTGTAGGTGCTTCACTTATATCTTTTGAGCTATGCAATTGCTCTAGTGCTTCACTTATTTCTTTTAGAGCACGGAGGTGGTTATATTTGCACTCCCATGCTTCACTTATATTATTTTGAGAGTTTAATAAATAGTAATGGCAATATGCACGGGTTATGAAATTGGTCCTAATACGATAGGTATTCAAGAGGGATATAATAAAAACTTCCATGTAGATCACTGAATATGATAAGTTTGATTCCTTGCAATAGCTTTGAGATATAGAGATGGTAATATGTGGGTTGTGCTAGTGAGTAATTGTGGTTTAGTAAGAATATTGGTGTTAAGGTTTGTGATTCCCGAAGCATGCACGTATAGTCTCTCATCATGCTAAGAAGTTAGGGCACGATTTATTATTGAGTGTCTTGCTTCCTGCTATTTCTTGAGCCTGCGTTTGTTTTTCCCTTGAAGAGGAAAGGGTGATGCGGCACGGTAGAGATAAGTATTTCCCTCAATTAAAAACAAAGGTATCAATACAGTAGGAGAAGAACGCGCAAATCACCAATACCTGCACAAACAATCAAACACTTGCACCCAACGCGATAAAGGGGTTGTCAATCCCTTCACGGTCACTTGCAAAGGTGAGATCTGATAGAGATAAATAAAACTAAACAAAAAGATAACTAAGTAGTTTTCGATTTTTTGGTTTATAGATCTGAAAATAAAAGATTGCAAAATAGTAGATCGAAAACTAATATGATGGAAAATAGACTCGGGGGGCATAGGTTTCACTAGAGGCTTCTCTCATGAAGGCAAATAATACGGTGGGTGAACAAATTACTGTTGGGCAATTGATAGAAAAGCGCAAAGTTATGATGATATCCAAGGCAATGATTATGTAATATAGGCATCATGTCCGTGTCAAGTAGACCGACTCCTGCCTGCATCTACTACTATTACTCCACACATCGACCAACTCCTGCCTGCATCTAGAGTATTAAGTTCATAAAGACCAGAGTAATGCTTTAAGTAAGATGACATGATGTAGATGAATAAACTCAAGCAAGATGATGTAAACCCCATCTTTTTATCCTTAATGACAACAATACAATACGTGCCTCGCTACCCCTACTTTGTCACTGGGTGAGGACACCGCAAGATTGAACCCAAAGCTAAGCACTTATCACATTGCAAGAAAAACTAATCTAGTTGGCCGAACCAAACCAATAGTTCGAAGAGAAATACAAAGATATCAAATCATGCATATAAGAATTCAGAGAAGATTCAAATAATATTCATAGATAATCTGATCATAAATCCACAATTCATCAAATCTCGACAAACACACCGCAGAAGAAGATTACATCGGATAGATCTCCAAGAACATCGAGGAGAACATGGTATTGAGAATCAAAGAGAGAGAAGAAGCCATCTAGCTACTAGCTATGGACCCGTAGGTCTGAGGTAAACTACTCATGCTTCATCGGAAGGGCAATGGTGCTGATGTAGATGCCCTCCGTGATCGAATCCCCCTATGGCAGGATGCCAGAAAAGGCCCCAAGATGGGATCTCATGGGAACAGAAGGTTGCGGCGGTGGAAAAGTGTTTTCGTGGATTGTTCTGGAGGTTCGGAAATATATGTGAATATATAGGAGGAAGAACTAGGTTAGGGGGTCGCCGAGGGGCTCACAAGGTAGGGGCGCCCCCCTAGGGTGCGCCTTCCACCCTTGTCACCGCCTCTTGGCTCTTCTGACTTGCACTCCAAGTGTCCCGGGTGTCTTTTGGTCCAAGAAAAATCATCACGAAAGTTTTATTTCGTTTGGACTCTGTTCGATATTACTTTTCTGCGAAGCTAAAAAACAAGGAAAAACATAAACTGGCACTAGGCTCTAGGTTAATGCATATAAAATATCCAAAACAAATAATATAATAGCATGGAATAATAAAAAATTATAGATATGTTGGAGACATATCACTTCGCGTGAAGGTCGGGGGCGCACGATGGTTAATTCCTATCAACCTCCCACCTAGGGGCATGCATAGTAGTACTTTGCCTCAAGGGCTAATAGACTTTTGTAATAAATATGTGAGTTCTTTATGACTAATGTGAGTCCATGGATTATACGCACTATCACCTTTCCGCCATTTGCTAGCCTCTTCGGTATCATGCATTGTCCTTTCTCACCTCGAGATGTGGTGCAAACTTCGCTGGTGCATCCAAACACTCAATCACACATAAGCCTCTTTATATATTCCTCAAAATAGCCATCATACCTACCTATTATGGCATTTTCATAACCATTCTGAGATATATTGCCATGCAACTTCCATCGTTCCGTTATTATGACACACATCATCATTGCCATATTGCTTTGCATGATCATATAG